TAGCTAGCCTGGCTGTCTAATTTGCAGACATCTTTGCTTTTAATAGGGCTTGTGAAATTGCTGAAGATTGTATATATACTGATACCAGTATATATACTGGGCCAGTATATATATTGATACTAGATCTGTGTTTGAGGTTTTACATGATTTTGATCAATTGTAGAAACAGTGGAAATTCTTAGCTTCCGCTGGCACTCGTATTAAACATGAGGCTCTTATTGCCGACTAATGGAATCTCTCATCTTGCCCACTCCTTTGGCAGTTGTCAGAATATCTGCACTTTCTGGCCTTCCTGCTAATGAATGGGCTGATGCAGCAGATCAGCAATGTGCTTTCTGGGCCCAATGCAAATAAGTTTTCATTTATAAAACTTCATCCATGTTACTGTGTGTCTGGTTCAGTCTTTGGCCTCTTCTTCCAACATTTGAGAAGGTAAGAAGCAGGTTGGCCACAGGATGCTTCGGATATTTAGAAACACCTAGGCATTTCAAAGCTAGCTCTTTCCCGAAGTCCTTTCTTGCTTCCTATATAGTCTGCGGTTCTATTGTGGCCCTCTAGCAGCCAGCAGAGCTGGTGGCAGATTTAGACAGTGAGGGGGTTGGGGAGAGACATGGGGCAGTCCTGGAGTGTGGGGAAGGCTCTGAGGAGTGCTCTGTGTTGGAGGCAGAGATGGGGCCAGGGCCATCTGGCAGTTATCAGAGTCAGAGATAAGTGGGACAGAAGAACAGCTGGAACTTGTTCCTGGATGTGTGCATGCTCAGAGCTGTCAGGGAAAGGGAACAATTAAGGAACAGGGGTCGACTCGGGAGTAAAGGCACAAGTGGATGCTAAATGATGCCTCCCACAGGAAACAAATAGAAGCAAAAAAGGAGTGGCGTTTGCAGGAGACACTTAATTCATTTATTAGTGTGAAGATTTGCTTATCTGAGTCTGTGCCTCACAGAAAGACTTTCTGTGTTTCAAGTATTTCATTTTTCAAAGTTGTGCCTGGAAGCCAGGGGTGGGTTTCAGGCGGTTCGCGGCGGTCCCCGCGAACCGGTTGGTCGGTGAACCCGGAAGTAAGTACCTTCCGGGAACGCCGAAGGGTCCACCCGCCTGCCCGCGTTTCTTACCCGGTTTTGACAAGTTCTGCGCTTCCACCCATGCGCAGGACGCATACAGTGCCTGCGCGATCCTCCAGGAGCAGCTGGAGCATCGCACAGACGCTAGTACACATGCGTGCACCGACGCCGCGAGAAACCCACCCCTGGTCCAGTGTCTGTCCTGACCTAGGCTTCCTCAGCAGCACAAAGCCGAGTCCTCATCCCAATAAACTCCTTTTATTTAATTTACAATTTGAA